GGGGTGTGCCTGCAAAGACACTCCAACGCTCAAGTAAGTGCTCGGCGTAATAAATGCGGTAGTTGAAAGTTGGTTACGTACCTCGTTGGGACTCTATTTATAGGACTTCTTATTGGGCCGTGATTAGGGACTGGGCCCCGGGAAATTAGGGGGCTAATCCAATGCATTACGTTAATTAAGCTCTTTGGAATTATCTTGGGGCCGGCACATGGTTTTGGCCGAGCATACCGACGTACTCCGTTCGATTCTCGGGTGATCGATATGTTAGGGTATTCGGCCAAGTGTTTGAGGGGTCGGGTGTTCGGCCCAAGTGTTCGAGGGGTCGGGTGTTCGGCCCGAGTATTCGAGGGGTCAGGTATTCAGCCAGGTCGGCCCCCATACGGTATACTATTTTTTTTGGTGAGTTAATGTTCAAGGAGAGAAAAAGGAGAGAAAAAGTTGCCTAATTTCAAGATAAACACACATGCCATTGGGTTCAAAAGTCCAAAACTCAACATGTTACATACCAATAAATTATTTATCATTGAAGGATTTGAATTTAATGCAAGTATTAGACACTTGAATGAATTTTCACTAGCGCGTATATATAAAATATAAAAAAAAATATTAAGTTTGATATAAAGAGTTTCATTAAGCGTGCATGATGACCTTGTAGTTGTGGCATGTGTTTGTATTAATGCATTACTCATGAGACCTGAAAAGTGAAAACATGACAATTACATTTGTAAGATTTTAAGTAACACACGGCGATGAGAAATAATGCCATGGCAAATGTATAATTGCAAAACATTTTCTTTTTAATGAAGTAAAGAAAAAGAATAGACAATCAAAGTATGTATGTGCCATACAGCTTGCACTAAAACAAGAATCTCCGGATATATCAAGCTAAAGTTGTGTTTTCTCAAGGATTATATGGAGTAATTAATTATAAATATTCACTCTTTCATTCTTTCTAGAGACATTGCTCTTGTGCATATCACACATATATATATACCAAATCTCGTGTAAAATTCGAATCAATATCTATATATGTTAAAAAAGATAGTAGATATAATCAGGGACGGAGCCAGGATTTCAATACTGGGGGGCCGAGAATAAATAATATATAATTTATAATAAATGAAAATTAAAGTCCAAAAGTGATACCACATAGCAGGCCGTACCAGAAGTTCAAAAGTTGAATAAAAAAATAAATTTGGATTATTCATTTAATTATACATATGAGTTTATATTAAAAATAGGGGGTGCCATATAGTAATATATATGTATATAAAAAAATTAAAATTGTTGGGGGGCCGTGGCACCCGTAGGTCCCCCCTTGGCTCCGTCCTTGGATATAATGCGACTTTACACTAATTTTTGTTACATGAGAATCAGAGTATGAAAGCATACCACAGTTTATATTTGCTCATTCTGCATCTAAAGCAAGCATCAGAGAGATTGTATAACTTGTGCTCATTGTCAACCTTACACCTAATGTTTTCAAAAATAATCAAATGATCAAGTCGTGTCATTCGTTGATTACTAAGTGATTATTGATAATTAGTTGCACTTGATTTGCATGCATGGTGGGGTTCGCGACAACCGAGTCATGTTCCAGAACCAACACTAACACTTTTGACCTAATCCGATTATGTGCTTGATTAACCCATTGTAAAATTGGAAAATTAATTGTGTTTATTTATTAGCGACATATATTCCAGTGTAGTGATTAAGCTACATGGGGATATTTTATGGTCTGCTTCGAACGAATGACTCATCTTATTCGTAAAAGTAGCAAGCATCCATATTTAATTATTCATGATGGAACCACATTTCAAAGGACTGCTTTCAACTAGTGAATTAGCTCTATTGGTTCCCTGTTCCCGATATGTTAATTAATGAGAAATATAGTATACAAATTACAAAAGTTCTTGCCATTAAAATATTTAATGTCATAATCCTTGGCCTTAGCCGTGGAAAGTGCAAGTGAAATGTTTAACCATGGCAATTGATACCACGGAGCATATAGACTAGCTAGTAGGATTGATTTGTCTTTATATTTTTGTGTATCTGTATTTGATATGTATCTCATGTGATATTTTCAGATACATTATTAATACATGTTAGTGAAGTATCTTAAATTTTAAGAGTATTATGAGAGAAAAAAAATTCAATATCAATATTTTTTAATATTTCATTGATATTTATTTGGTAATGTATCATGATGACCTTTAAAAATATTATGAAATGATTTATAATTTATTTATTTTTAATAGTATATAATAAGTATGTTTTTAATTTGGATTTGTAAAATAGTAATTATATATTTATATATTTAACGTTTTATGAATTTTGATTAAAAATAGAATTAAACATTTATTATATTTAATGCATATCAATACATATGTATCTTATATATTTTAAAATAATTATATTGTGATATTGTATATGTTTCATATTTGACACGTGTATCATAGCAGAATATCACAGGTACGTTAAATATATAGAAAAAGAGTTTTACTACCTGTAGTAATCCTACCCGTCGTACTTGACTCAAACATATTGCTTTGCTTCAAATGAAAGATATTCATGTTCTCTATGAAAATAAAGAAGTGCTTAACCATGGTTATCCAATGACCTAGACCCTTAACCTTAGTCTTCCCAAAGTCTATATATACCATGCATTGATCCCCACATGTTGTATAACCCACGACTACCATCTTCAATCTTATTCTCCCTCCACAACTTTGTTTTGTTTTCTATAATTCTATGTGCTCTTTTTTCATTGAATTCTCCCGAATATAAATCTTCCGTACCACGACATAATCTCTCGTTCCTAATCATGATTCCAACACTTGTTTGTCTTGTCACAACATTATTCAAAAGCAATTTCTCTTGGTCTCTCATCACTCTATTCCTCTCCACTTCACTAGCCCTTCTTGCTATCTCCCTTAACTACTGGCTTGTCCCCGGAGGTTTCGCATGGAGGAAATATCACAACCGTTACAAACACCATGCAAAACTCCCCGGCCCAATCGGGTGGCCCATATTAGGAACTCTTCCTGAAATGGGTCCTTTGGCCCATAGAAAACTGGCTAACATGGCCACCTCACTAAACGCAAAAAGGCTCATGGCGCTAAGTTTGGGTACAAACCCGGTTGTTATCAGCAGTCACCCAGAGACCGCAAGAGAAATTCTCTGTGGGCCGGGGTTTTCGGACCGGCCCATTAAAGAATCGGCCCGAATGCTAATGTTCGAGCGTGCCATTGGATTTGCTCCATATGGGACCTATTGGCGCCACCTTCGTAGGGTGGCCACCACACACATGTTCTCTCCGAGGAGAATTTCCGACATGGAGCATCTCCGACAACATGTGATTGACGAAATGGTTACGAGGACGTGGAAGGAGATGGAGAACAAAGGGGTGGTGGAGGTTCGAAGCATTTTGCACGAAGGGTCTTTGAGCAACATGTTGGAAAGTGTGTTTGGTGTTAATAACTCTCTTAGCTCAAAAACAAAGGAGGTGTTGGGTGACATGATTAAGGAAGGGTATGACTTGATTGCTAAGTTTAACTGGGAAGATTATTTTCCCTTCAGGTTTTTGGACTTTCATGGAGTCAATAGAAGGTGTCACAAATTGGCAAGTAAGGTCAATAGTGTGGTGGGTCAAATTATAGAAGAGAGAAAAAAGTATGGAGAGTTCGTTGGACAAAATGATTTTCTTAGCACTTTGTTGTTTATGCCTGAAGATGAACAGATTGGTGAATCAGATGTAGTGGCTATCTTGTGGGTAAGTAACAAGTATTCCATTTTTTATTTTTTTCTCTTCAGTTTTTTTTTTTTAAGTATATTTCTCATCCATTAAGTCAAAAACTAATCTTGTTCATACTATTGTAATGGTTAGTAACTTGAAAGAATACCATGAAAAATGTCAATAACATTATCTATCATCTCTTTTTTAATATTTTTATTATTAACTAAAATTTATTAAGTCTTACGTTTTATGTAATAATTATTTCTTCTGATTTGTCGATGACACTCATTAAAATTTGTATTGTAATAAACTTCAACCAATAACAACAAAAAATAAATAAAAATAAAAAGTATCAAGATTCACATTCATTACGTATATTATAACCCTTATTCTTGATGCTTTGTGTAGGAAATGATATTTAGGGGAACGGATACTGTTTCTATACTTTTGGAATGGATTATGGCCATGATGGTGTTACACCAAGACGTGCAGAAGAAAGCCCGCGAAGAGATCGACACGTGCATAAACCAAAACGGTCACGTGCGAGACTCGGACATTCCGAACCTGCCTTACCTCCAAGCCATAGTGAAGGAGGTTCTCCGGTTGCACCCGCCAGGCCCATTGCTTTCATGGGCCCGTCTCGCAATCCATGACGTCCATGTGGACAAGGTTGTCATTCCAGCTGGCACAACCGCAATGGTTAACATGTGGGCCATATCACACGACGCATCTATTTGGGAGGATCCATGGGCCTTCAAGCCCGAACGGTTTTTAAAAGATGATATATCAATCATGGGCTCGGACATGAGACTGGCACCGTTCGGTGCCGGACGTAGGGTGTGCCCAGGAAAAACGTTGGGCTTAGCTACTGTTCATCTTTGCCTTGCACAGCTTCTTCGCCATTTTATATGGGCTCCGGTGCAGCCCGTGGATCTTTCAGAATGTCTCAAACTTTCCCTAGAAATGAAAAAGCCTTTACGATGCCAAGTGATTCGCAGGTACAACACCAAAAGCTCTTGAACTCAATAGGTAAGTGAATAATGTGGAATAAAGGATGTCATCGTCGTTCATATGTAACTTTTGGAATAAAAAAGTATTTGATTGATGTGGAATTGAAATTTATGTAATGTTGCAAAAAAAAAAAAAATTTGATAACTACTTGGTGCGAGTTGAATTCAAGGTGGTCCAAGATGGGCTAATTAGTGAACTAATTAATATCATCACTAAGTGAGGTGATGTGAGCACACTATATACAATGTTGGATCTAATGAAGTTGTTTAGGGGTGTTTTCTTGGTCTTATCCATGTCTTGTTGAAGTTCGAATGTTGTGCCAAATGCAATGGAATAAATGCTACTTGCATATTGCTGTACAAATCTTATAATTTAGGTAGATTTATACTTTTAGCACATATATAATATTTAATCTTAAATTTTGGTTTATAGTTTTAATTTTTTAAATTTTGTTAAATTCTTCATTTATTGATTACCAGAGAACTTGATGTAGATTACTCAGGGCACAAAATAATTTCTTTTGTCAAATTTTTGAAGAGAAAAAATATCTTTGCGAAAGTATTTATTGGTAACGAATAAAAAAAGTAATTTTTTAAAGTAACCAAAATTAGCTGGGGATAAATTCCCAAGTTATATATGCATTGTCTTTAGGTTTATAGAAAATGTGATATGTGCAAGGGCATTGATTTTCTCTTTAACAATATTTAGTTTAAGTTATATTTGATTGAAATAGTGCTAAAAAGTATCAATGGTGGTGTTTATCTACGTTTGTATTTATAACAATATATAAAGAAAAATATAAGTGTTTATTATTTTTAAAGCATATATACTTTTGTATAACATTTTAATATTTTCTCACTAATACTTTTTTCTAGAATCAAATAAAATAAAATAAAAATTATACACAACAAGTTAACTGTAGCACTATACCAAAGTCAGATTGTTCTTTCATACGTGACAGTCACTAATTAATCGATCATTTATATACGTAATCAACATTACGAATTTGCTTGCAATTGTGATTTATTTTGCTCTCTTGTTTTTTTGCAATTTAAATTTCAAGAGAAAAATATTAATTTCCAACTTGAAGTATCGATCGGATCGTGATACATAATTATGTTATTGTTTATCAGACAAAAGAAAATTAAAATTTCAGGCATGCGTATAATTCTCAATTTACTAATAATTGAAAATCTTTCCATCTCTATAAAACAATAATCAATGACTGCAATTAGTTTCTTTCAACTACGTCCAGAAAAGGTTTTTTTTTATCATGATGAAAAATATAAATAGTAATTATATTCTTGAAGTTTTTTTTTACTGTAATATTCATTCCATTAATCATAATATAATTGATAAAAGTATGTAGATGACTAAAAAGTATGTTTACTAGCATGAAATTTAAGCGTTTTTGTTCGAATATGAGTGATTTGATTGACTTATTTACAAATAAAATTTATTAAATAGTTGTAAATTAAACTAAGTTTCCTTTTATATAAAGTCAAAATAAGACCAAATTCATTATTTATACAAGAGTTAGAATGTTTATCATAAAAAATTTATTTGTAATCAAGTTCGAAATTGGCATTGTAGAGACACATATCCATGGTTCAAGTGATTATAGTCAAAAAGAATGATATATCTACTTCATGAACAAGAAGATTATCTAAATGATAATATGTCATTGTTGAAACAAAAATTTACCCTTTTCATTTTGAATACAAACTCTCACATCATAAGTATTCAAGTCTACAAAAATAAAGGTATTTAGGTTGCACTTCAGCATGCCAAAGACAAATTTAGTCCAACATTGACAACTAATAACAAAATTCAAATTTTGATGAGAAACACTTGTAATAAACAACTCTCAAATAGCTTTCAAATGTCGGATGTAATCTTTAACCGTAGTGAGTGACGTATTTGTAAAATTTTTCTAAATTTTCCCGGTAGAAACGTTACAAGCACCAAATGGTAGATATTTTAAAATATAGAAAATACATTATTTAATATTGTCAACATTACTTATAATTGGGTTAATATAGTTATAGCATCTAGAATGTCTCCACTCATTTACTACATGAGAACAATCAAAGAAAGTATGCCATCTAAATTTAAGACAAGATGCACAAATGGGCAAGTAATAAGATAAGTAATACATTTTGAATTAAGATTTAGCCTAATTGAAAGACAATGTGGCACCATCTCCAAATAACAGTAATAATAATTATTATTTTTGCTAAGAACATGTATATTCCAAATACATTGTCAATCTCTCTACACCCGCAAATGTGCATTATCAATTAAAGATTATGACATAATAATATGTTATTTTGATCGAATAATTATTATCTTATTTGCAATTAGAAAAATAAAATGTACAATATTAATAATGAAAAAAAATAATATTAAAATATTATTTAATAATAAGTTTATTAATTTTTATAATAATTATCCTAAAAGTTATATTAATGATAATTTCTAATTATTACGGTGTCAATTTTTTTACGCAACTGTTAAAGTTTTTAAGAATTAACGGTGTATTAGTTAACGGTGTAAAAAAACAGAGTATTAGTTTAAAATATTAAATATCTTTGGTTACTTAACAAATTAAATGTTAAATCATTTTATATTTCTTCTTAAATTTTTCATTGAGAGAGACGCCTATATATAATGTTCAACTATATTTTAAATAAAATTATTTTTTACGGAAGATACCAGCGAAAATTATAAAATATATTTTAATATGATATATGTCAGTTTAATAGAATTTGGATGGTTTTTTTCTTCACTTATTTATACTATTGATAAGGACAATACTATTTTTTTTAACTGCTTTTTATGTCGATTTTTAAATAGACAATTTTACTCTTGTTTTTTATTTTGTAATTTTCTATTTTTTAAGATTATTTATAAATAACTATTTTATTCCTATAACTGTTAAAATTATTTGAGTCTTCCAATTATTCAATTTTAATTATTTTTATTTTTTATCTTACTTTCATTTGTGCGGAAACACAAAATAACTCTTTTACTAGTACTATTATGAATATAAATTAAACACTGCTATATAAGTTAAACATATTTCAAATCAACATCCGAATTATTAAAATATTATTATCTTTAATAAATTTATTATAAAATAATTATTTAATTTAATATTTTATTATTTAAAT